CCTTCATAGAATGACGTCAGTACTATCTTTATATATGATAGACGCCATGATGAAAATATAAAGGTCGATGCAACACTAAGATAACGTCCGTATTGGATTTTTGTTTCGTTAACAAATTCGATTAATCAATATTAATTCATAGGAAACTTATTTATAACACTTTTTCATTTTTACATAGTTACTTTTTATATAATAAAGCTACATGTCAAGCATCATAAATAATTACTTGCTCTGATTTAAATACGACTCATTAAATGTTATTTTACAAAATAATGATGTTTAGACGTGAAATATTGTTTAAATGATTAATTATACACAAAGGGCACTCTAAAGTTAATGTGTCTACAGTTCTGCATTATTCTGTTACTGGCAAACGTGTTTCAAACATGTTTATTTGTTTATTATCAATATATAGATCACTCGCCAAGATTGAACTATTTTTCCATCCAAAAATAAATTTTATAACGGATCCATTGGTTGGTTCAAAATCCATAAGTTACTTTAAGCACCTACATACATGACATAAGAGGTAGAGAGCGGCGTGATAGCGGTCTTTTTCGGATAGAAATGTCGAAGAAGGTAGCATGTAAATTTTCATTATTTTCTAATTCTATTTTAATTGACATTTTTTAATAATGACCTTCCCTCCCAAAACAAATTGATATCATTTTTCTGCCGAAAGTTTACCTATCTTTCAGGCTATCACAATATGAGTCTTTTCGTCCTTACTGGAATCAGAATTCTTGACTGGTGCTTAATATAATCATTGAATAACTTAAAAGTTCACCATTTGCTAAGTAAACCAATAAAACACAAATACAATGTTGACAAATAACATTCCGTTAACGGCGCCGACGTTGATATGACATGAAGTGAGGTTTAATTTCTTTATTGTGGAACATGAATTTGAAACTTTATCTATTTGAAGCAATCGTGATTCACGTTTCCCTAAATACGTAAATAGTATCAGGTCATATACTTAAATTCGTATCGATACTTTTTCACAAGCCATTGACATTTAAATTTCGCCAAACCTTAAATATATCATCAAAACTAATTTTGTCTTCCTGGTTTTATGTTGGACAAAAAGCAATTCATTCAAGCTTAGATTTTTGTATTCAATCTAACGAGCTGTCACTTATTCGTTTTTGAAGTGCTGAATAAATTGATATAGATTTTAAAGTACATAAAACCGTGAAAATGATACTAAATAAGACATTCAATACCTCATTTATATTTTTTCTTCGAGCTTTTAAGAGTTCTATGAATTATATCAACAGTACTGACCTTTTAAAGGGGACCAACAACATTACATGTTTTGGTAATGGGTTAAAATACTAAGCAAATACGGCGATCACTGACACTGTCTCTTTATTTGCTCATCAAAGGTTATTTAATGCTATTCCAAATGGAAAACAAAATATGTCTTAACTTCCCTTGATAAGTGTTTAATATGATAAATTAATTGTAAGTATTCACCTGTAAAGAAAAAGTTAAATAGTCGGCATATTTGTTATGATAAGAAAGGCGATAAATGCATATCAATATACTCAATATTTTATAAAATAAGCGGAGCATAATTATAATCATCTATATCTAAACACTTAAAAGGGGTTCAAAACATTTATGCAAGGGGTTGCTTACTTCGCACACAAAGATAACTATAATTTTAACAGTGAAACGACAGCTCCCGGAAGTTTTCATATATACTTTTGCTCATTAGCAAACCTTTTTCACGATATGTAAAATACTTCCAAAAAAGATATTTTATGTTGGCAAATGCAACAAGAAAACTGTCACAATTAGGTGTAAAAAGACATTATTAAGATAATTTCACAATGAACTTCTAATGAAACGTGTATTGGCGATGATTTCAAATGATATAATAAATTATTTTTCGCTTACTAGGTCATTATAACTATAATAATGCTTCAAGCCAAACAACTTTTTACTTTTCCTTTTTAGCCATTAAATCATCAAATATAATCTCAACACATTGATAGATAAAACGTAACATTAAGGTTGAGATGATGCCCTGTTGTTACCAAATGAAAGCATGAAATAAGTGTTGTCCCAAACATTCTTCATCATCATAATTGACGCTGGTATATGTAAATAACACGTTTAGAAATCAAATAAGATATAGCCAGGAAATCGAGTAAACAAGAAAAAAAATGGATTTGTTTATTTCATATATCGGTACAACACGTAAACACACTGCAAGCGCTCTGTTACCTTTTAATGACTTAACATTGAAACATTGTGAAATTGATACACTGTGGATGTTATTAGAATATGATGGGAAACAACGTCTTCTGAAAGATTAATATCACTGACAAGAAAACATACTTGGTATGTATTAATTTCAAGTGCATCAGGGGTTAGGAAAAAAAATCTTCAAACACGATGCAATTTAATTTAATCAACATTTTCAGTATTCATTCAACCAGGATATATTGTCGATTTTTTGTGTATGTTTTGATAACTTTAATTGAAGTTTTTCTCTATCAGTGCTCAAATCTGTAACCGCTTTTTTAATTAGACAGACTTGAGCTATGCACATTTTTTTTGCGATGCAAAGTTGCTTGGACAAAATTATCTTATTAATCACAGGAAGTTTTCTCGAGTTAATTTGTTTTGATTTTCACATCATTCATTTTCTGGCACACATCTTTCAACAATGAATCATATTTAACTCTTTTATTTTTATACAATCAACTTAGCTGTCAAAGATTCGTTTTTGAAGTGCTGAATTAATATATACTTTAAAGTACATAAAACCATGAAATTGATCCTATATTAGAGACTCAAGATTCCATTTATAATTTTCTTTGAACCCTCGAGATTTCTATAAATAATTTCAACAGCTTTAATATATAACTAGTAAGTAGTAAGAGAATCAAACTATATTATTTATTGACAGTTTTGGCTGAATTACTTGGTAAATATGACACAAACACTGACTCTGTCTCTCTCTCTTTGCACATTAAAAGATTTTTAATGTTTTTTTCCGAAATTTACCAAAACATTTCAAGAGTTCATTTGAGAAAAAATGGGCGTATACTTTAATTTGTTGATTATGACAAAATTATAGCAATTATATAACTCTTGAATGTAAGTCAAAAAGTAGACATATTTTGACATAAAAAGCAGCAAATGATGCTTGTTCATATCTTCAAAATAGAAATAGATGAAACAAACAGCAGGGGTCAAAACCATTTCACCTGCTAAAGCTAAGAGATGCACAGGCCCCAGTTATTCGGAACCGTTAAGTCGCCTCTTACGATCACACAGCGATAAACGATGGCTGCAATGTTGATGTCTCAAAACTTAAAGGCAACCCAACGGCCACAAGGGGGCAACTTTGCATCTTACCCTACCTTGGATTATTCTTCCTTGGATTTTTACTAAATTTCACGAGCTGCCATCGACTGTTTTTTTTTTTCAAATGTTAAATTAATTGATATAGTCTTTAAAGTACATAAAACCGTGAAATGTTCGCTAAATAAGAAATTCAAAACCTGATCAATCATTTACTCCAATCTCTCAAGATGTTTATGAATGTTATAAACAGTATGAACCTGTAAACAGGGACCAAATACATGCTGTTGGTAACCTGCCAAATTATTTACCAAGCTGACTCTGACATTGCCTCATTTGGTCTTTTAAACTTATTTAATGTTTTTTCTATGGTTCCCTTGGCATAAATGAATGGATATCATTATTTGTTTATTATGACAAAATAATTGCAATTATATACGTCTTACAATTAAGTAAAATAGTATTCGACGAGCAATTCAACTTATGTCTCGTATAATTTTAAACGTCGTGTAGTATTAAACAATACTAAGACAATTTCACTATAAACTGTTAATATAACGTGTACTGACGATGATTTCAAATGATATAATTAATTCTTTTCGCTTACTAGGTTAATGTTACTAATAGTATGCTTAAAGCCATGTTCAAAGCCATGGTATCTTCAACGTTTAACTGCTAAATCATCAAATATTATCTTAACACTTTGATAGCTAAAACTTAACATTAATGTTGAGAAGATATCCGTTGATAGTTATCCCATACATTCTTCATCATCAAATGACTGTTGTATTTTTTAAAAACCAGTGAACAAAATAAAAATAGACAGAAAAAAAACAACAAGTAAACAACAAAAATGTTTCTTATACTGGTATCACTTTTAAAGTACGAAGAAATGTGTAAACACACAGCAAGCAATAGGTCACCTTTTAATTACTAAACATTTTGAAATTTAATATAATGCATATGTTAACAGTTATAAAAAATAACTTTAATGTGAAACAAACGTTTTCTTAGAGATTAATAACACCGACATGGCAAAAGTTTTGATATGAAGTAATTTAAAGTGCATCAGAGGTGGAGTAATCAAAAACACCAACCACGATGCAATTCATTAAATCAACAAATTCAGTATTTCAACCCGGATATATGGTCGAATATTTTTGTGTATAATAAAACTTTTTGTTTTTTGTCAATGCTGAAATCTGCAATCTCATATTCAGCTAGACAAACATTAAGCCATGCATTAGAAAAAAATCAACAAAAGTAAAAGCATATTAGGTTCATTGAGCCAAAGATTTTAAAATTATTTCTATTTTGATGATATATCTAAATATTCGTCCTGCTAAGCGCCTTTAGATGACTGATTTAAAAATGTTGACTCTTAATCATTTCGTTAACTTGCAGTGGCAGATTCAGGTACGACTTCCGGCATGCAGTACTCGGCTCCTTCAACTACTCTCCAGCTTATAGGATACGTTTACGAGCTTGGCTGGAATATATACGTGTCAGTTTCATGCATTATTGGACATAAGATAGTTCCTTATCAAAACATTTAGTGCTACCATCCGGTTGCTGAGAATTCTTTATTAAACAACATGAATGACTTTGAACGTTGAAATGGCATATTTGATTAGCTTATTACTTATAAAGAAATAAAAACAGTGTTTCTGTTTATTTAATTCTGATATATGTACATATGTTTATTCATAAGATCTGATTACAATTCATCTTTAAATAAAACACATCAGTTTGGATCTGATTCAACATATCATGTACTTGACAAAAAAACATTCCATTAACAAAGGTTCCTTCAATTTATGCTTTTAACAAGGACAATTCGTAATGAATATGGATCATAAAGTATTTGATACCTATCGAGAAATAAATCACAAATATATATTGTTATCATTCTAAATGAATACTTTAATAGATTAGGTCTCTCAACTTAACTGATTCGTTTAAATTTATCTGGATCCGGAATTCATGAAAGCAAAACAATGGCATATATTTCTTAAACTATTAGTTTACGAAATTTATACCATTTTATTGCCTTTAAAATGAACTTTATAATCACAACCATCCATCACAATACATAGGAGAGTAACCAAATTTTCACAAATCATACGTGCATATCATTGTAAGAGTCATTTAATACTTGGTATTCTGAAGATAAGCATTGCAATAATATTAATCAAAGAATTTTCCAGTCGATTCACACAATTGAAATATCACTGTTCAGGAGTACATCAACTAATAAACCTGATGACAGAAAGTTCTCAGTATCTGTCAGACTGGTTCTTTTCTCTTTCTTTAAGCCATGAATCAGTTGTAAGAATTGTCGTATCGTTGGTCAGCTCTATTTGGGCGACATCGGGGAGAGGTTCATTGTCAAATGAAGGGCTTATATATTCTTCTTCTTGTTCCTCTTCTATTTCTTCTTTTATATTGTTTGACCGGTTGATATTAGCAGTTCTAAAGGGAGATATATTCGAATATTATTAAACCACACCTGGGCATATTAAAAGACATGTAGAAACTTTGAAATTCAAAGAAAACTATATATAATTATACAAATATAATTTGATATAAATAGTTCTAAGTTTAGCTTAAATGACAAACATCCTGTTAAAGTGATGTCTTAAAATGGCGGAAAATATATTTTTACTTTTGTCGGAACAGATTCCAGATAATATGATTGCAAAACATACGATGCTGATGAAGTCAGAGTAGTTACATTTAAGGTGAAACAAATAGTTTCAAGTATGTACATGCTTACATGTCATACTATAATTAAAGTCAATGAGTTGACATTTCTGTGTTAAAGAGCCTATTATGTCTCAGAAATGCTTTTATTTATATTTCTAAATGCTTTTCATTTTTGGTGACCTGTTATAGTTTCAAAAAAGTTACTCATTGGCAAATCACGTGATAAATCTTTTGCTTTTGGCAATTAATACTAATTTAGTGATTAAGAATTTTGTATGGAAATCTTACATTTTGCTACATTTAGATTAAATAATTTTACATTCAGCTCAAGTGAAAAACGTTTAACAGTTTAACATGCTCTAAAACCTTTATTTGAACGTTATAAAAGTCATCTTTGCCTTTTCTAAAGAATGAAAGGATGCATAATGTGCATTTAAATGACGGAAATATTAATAAAAGAACAATAACATAATACTAACGCTACTTGTTGTACATGGTCATCAAGGTCTACATCTGTTGTCTGGACAGATGAAAGGTCGGCGTTCTTTGAATAACCTGGATTCTCAAATTCAAGGTTCCTCCTATGACGAGAAATTGATGTTTTGAGTTTCGCTTTATGTGGATTTAATTTTCGTCTGAAACCCAAAATATATGATATTATTCCATTGTTTTGCAAATATGTATATTAGATAGACTTATTAAGAAAATCCCTTCTACAAGATGGCGGCTTTCGGCTTTTGTTTACAAAATGAAGGATACGAGCATGAAATATTTCAAAGAGAAGTATGTACCAAGAATTCTTAAGAAAGCATTTTTGGTTTAAGTATCATGAAAGCTAGAGGACTTGTAGTTTAATAATGAAAGCTACAATCATATAAGCCGCGTCATGACAAAACTAACATAGTCTGTTTGAAACCAACATGAATCCAGACTAGCCGGCGCATCCGCGCAGTCTGATCAGGATCCATGCTGTTCGCTATCAGTTTCTCTATTTGTAATAGAGTTGGTAAGCGAACAGTATGGATCCTGATCAGACTGCGCGGATGCGCAGGCTGGTCTAGATCCATACAGGTCGCAAACCCATTATGTTGGTTTTGTTGTGACATGGCTCATATATATTAGTACGTTAACTTCATATGGGTACTATACAAAGTTATCATATTGCTTTACCTCCGCATAACGAATATGAAAGCACCAATAAGCATGATGATCACAACAAGTAAGAACGCAATCCCCGCTGCTACACCGGCAGTAGGTAATCCTGTCTGTGAGGAAGTCACTGTCGCAATATTAGCGTCGCCTTCAAAGCGTGGAAAGAACATAACATTTACATCTTTATATCGAAAACTAATGTGTGATTGGTAAGAACTTTATGTGTGTAACGATTTCTTTCAAAAACAGTTGATGAAAGCATTAACAACTCTGTACCTTGAAAATGTAAATTCACTCAATAATGCTGAAGATACAATTCAAAATCATGGTGTAAAATTGGTATATCGACATGACAATAGTATTTTTTACATGAAATTATGAAAATACGCCCATATAAATATCAACAAATGAAAAGGATTTTTTTTGAAAAAGCAGGTCCCAGTGCATCATAAAGGACTTTCAAAACTAAATTCTTCAAACTGGTTACCAAGGCAGAGGTCCTCCGTTACATTCCAATGACCGTTTGTATTGCACGTGATCCCTGTAAGTTGATCAGTTGGTGTGAAGCCATCAAAGCACATGAAATTGCAAGTTTCACCTATAGATAAGTTGCACGACCCAACAATTTCGCCATTTTGAATATATGGTTTACAGGTTAAAGCTGAAAAATATAACAATTATAGATAACACTATGTAAAACTAGTATCGGGATTTACACATTTAGGACTATTTTTTGCATATTTAGGATTACTTTTAGCATATAATTTACATATTACCTAAAAACGATAAAAAAGCAATAATCTTAATTTTAATGAGCTAAATTTGTGTACATAGAAATGTTTATCCTACATATGATTCAAATAATAAGGTGTTGTGCTTTTATCTTTGACTTTTACATTAAATCTCTTGTTAATTTTGCACACAAAATCCAATGTATATTGTTCTTGGCCATTAGACAATAAGTATATTGAACCCTTAATTAAAACTAAATTTTCGTTTTCAATATAAAATAATTCAGTTAAAGGGAAATATCATGCTCAAAATGATAAAATAAACCATATTAGCCGCGTCACAACAAAACCAACATAGTGCGTTGGCGACCAGCATGGATCCAGACCAGCCTGCGCATCCGCGCAGTCTGATCAGGATCCATGCTGTTCGCTATCAGTTTCTCTATTTGTAATAGAGTTTGTAAGCGAACCGCATGGATCCTGATCAGACTGCGCGGATGCGCAGGCTGTTCTGGATCCATGCTGGTCGCAAACCCATTATGTTGGTTTTGTTATGACACGGCTCATATAGAATCTACATACGCAAGCAAGAAGGAATCGGATGCCACATGTAATCATTTCTACAGACAACAGCAGACGTTACGTTGACATATCCTAAGTTACACTTAAATGCACAAGTCTCGCCGACATTTTTCTTGCATTTCCCATCAACACGTCCATTAGGGAGGGAACTGTCTTTGCATTCTGATTCTATCGATGTACAAAATTTGTTACAAAATTATATTAGAAAACCATAATGGTCAATGAAAATGGCTTAAGACATCACAGACATATTCTGTATTACAATGTCGGAGTAAGATATGTATACTGCAGCTAGTGACATCTATTTATACAGAGAGTTATAGCCGGTGCTAGGGGGGCGTAAGGGATGTTGTACTTTTTCATTATCCCTCATGTACAGACTCAACCAAACAGAGTCTGCAATTCTCATGTAATTTTGTTGTGATTTATGCTTCCGAAAGATACACTTTGTCAAGACTTTTACATAACTAACTATTTTAAGTACTACAGTACAATTATATAATTGATATGAAATGACGTAAATGATGACGTGTTTTACCAAGACAAAGAATGTCGGAAACGTCCCATTTTCCATTACTGCCACACATAATGTCAGGGTGGAGATTGTTGGAAATATAATCTGCATTACAAATGTAGCTACATTTCGTCCCTACAGTCCGCAGACAATATACAGAAATTGCTCCATTTAAGATTGAAACAGGGCACTTTATAACTGCAAATAAGAAATATAAAATATATAATAACATTAATGATATGGGGAAAACATATAGAATAGTTAGAATAAATGAACTATTGAGAAATAGTGATGAAATAAAATGCATATTTTCATTTCTATTTTGTATTTTCACTGTAAGAATTTATTTTTCACTGCAGTGAAACATATTTTCACTGGAGTCTTGCTAAACAAATTTCTTCTAAATTCAGCCAAAACACAAACAATTAGGAAAAGTCTTTCAAATTGTAATGTCAAAAAAAGAAGGGAAAACGTTTATAATGAAATAATAAACAGAAAAATCGGGTTTTTTGTATAAATACAGGATTTATTTTGATCTTGTGGTATGAAAATTATCATTTTCACTCGTGACTACCACCACTCATGAAATATTTATTTTAAAGAGACTCCAATGAGGTATTTTGACATGATGGGACTGAATTTTTTCCCCAGATAAATGTACCATTTGATGGCGGTTTAGACCACTAATCTTTGTACAAAATTTCAGATCAATCGCACACTTCGTTTTTAAATAGTTATTCAAATTGTAAAAAAATTACCCAAAATGAAAATCGTTTAAACGCTTTTCACTAAAATCGGGCTAAGAAAAGCATAATTCAATTTATTTAAAAGTATATTTCTTAACAATCTTTTTTAAAATGCCCCAGCTCATTTATGTAAAAAATCAGATGTTATGTTTTTAGGCTTTCAAAACTCATATACATAATATCCCCTTTATATACTAGAGAGAAAAAACTAGAAATTAGATACAATGTGATATAAGTAAACTAATAGAATAATTTGTCAATCTGAAAGTTTCGTATTTAGTCAACTAGTAATTATTTAGATACATATGTTTGGATAATATAGCATATTAAGCAAATATCTTTTAAATAAATATATGTACCCTTTTAATAGTTTGAGCCTCCAAATTCATATTTTGTTATCTTTTTTATTAACATTAGTGTCAGAATGATATAATATACAAACTTTTGCACGGGTTTCTCGGGTGCCACTTTTTGTCACTTTTACATACTGTCATTACCGTAGTATTTACATAACCATCATCGCAGCTATATTCACACACCTCCCCTATTGTCTTAGTACATGTTCCTGTTATTATCCCATGCTCGACAGTATCTTCACATACAGATTCTGTAATAAAGATATTAAAAATATATATCTTTTGTCAATAGTGCCATAAAAATCAACAACCATGACCAAAACATAATTAGTGTCATGAGTTTGAAACACTGCATTATACTTTATTCAATATTTTATGACAAGCAATAAAATTCTAAAATTTCTACCAAATAATTACAGCCAAAAAATGTTTACAATTTCATACCAATTCTCTTTGTTTCGTATAACAGAAATAAAAAACTACGGAAACGTATAGCGACCACCCCTATATGTTAGTTAAAACAGAATTTTTGACAATTTATTTAATACATATTATATACCTAACCAATTTTTACAAACTTACTTGATCTGAAATATGTATCTAGTAATATTTACCGCCTTTGAATGTTAGTAAAACAGAATTTTAGACAATTTATTTAACACATGATATATATTTGACCAATATTTTAATTGTTTTTTTTATATTGAATATATACTTTTTACTCAATCTGCTGTTTATATTGCTCGATTAAAATTTAATTGAGTTTTTTTCTGTTCATTTATATGTATTAGTTATATACATTTGAGGTTTAATTATTATAATATAACATATTTTACAGTTAATAGATAATCACGACAGAAAAATCCCACGCAATCTATAAAGGAAGCAATTAAATCAAGTTATGTTGTAAATCAAATATAATACGTATTTTTCGTAATCTATCGTACGTTTTTTATCTTATAATGCAAGATAAACTACTTTTAACTTTCTGACAAAATGAAAAAATAATACACTTACATCTTTTTAAATATGTATTTCTTTCCACACATCATATTTACATATAACAAACATACTATAAAACTATAAAAAATGTCATTTGATATTTATCATATAGGGGTGGTCGCTATACGTTTCCGTAAAAAACAAAGCAAATATAGTTCATTTATCTTACAATCATATTTCATGTTCTCATTTATAGCTATCTCACCATTCTATGAATCTTTCACTAAATATTTTAAAACAAGTATTCAAAAACTGTTTTTGAATCGAAACATGAAAGGTCGCCAACAAGGTAAATTCAAAATTGTTGCAGTCTCGTTTATTTAAGGACACCATAATTCACATGTATTCATATTTATATTCAAAATGCTGCAAATATCGAATTCGAATGTTGCTGACCTCTAAATGTATTTATGATTATTGCTGACCTTCCAATTTATACTACTTACAACTGCTTTTATTTGATCAGCGTCCAATATCAAATAAAAGGCAATAATTAAGGCAGACCTCTATGAGTAGTACTGCAAGCTTCAAATGAACATACACATAAGTTGTATAACCGGTTTAAGGGAAGCAATCGATTTTATTCTACATTTATTTGACGTGGGAGTAATTCATCTTTACCTTAAGTATGTGATGAATTGACAAAACTCACAACTAGTTAAGTATACTACATACTATGTATAAGTTGCTGTTATTTTTGTAAATAATCTTACTGTTCAAGCATTCAGTGTTGTTATATTTTTCTGGTCATTCGGGAACATTGATGCCGGCACTATTAAGTGTTGAGAACTGAGTACCGCTCAAGCCGATGCTAGGGGGACGTGAGGGATGTTGCACTAATTCATTACCCCATGTACAGACTCAATCAAACCGAGTCTGCTTTTTTCATGTTATTAATTTTTGTTGTGATTAATGCTTCCCATGGATCACTTTTTTCCAGATTTGTATATACAAACGGGTAAATCTAAACAAACCTTTGCAAAGTTCTGATGACTTTATATTCCATCCATTACTCTGACATGTAATCGCACTGTCTTGTGTTTGTGGTGTATAGAATTTATTACAGGTATATTTACATGAGGTACCAACTTTGGCTGTGCAATCTGGGTCTACCTTTCCATTTTCAATTCCATCACTACATTTGAAGTCTGACAAAAAGAAGAAAAAAATAAGTATCTACAGTAATACATATTATATTAACAATGATTATCATTTGAAAATAAATACAATGTACAACGATACAGCATGAATTCTTAACACTTCACTTTTTGTACTTTGGCGCTACTCAATATAATTGTCAGGTAAAGAAGTGAAACTTTCGATGTTTTTGACATTAAAATTAATGCACAATTGCTGGAAACAAATTACACAATGTTGTTAGATATATTCCTTATTACAAACGTGCAGTTCCCCTACCATTTTGACTGTAAGCAGTGATAAAGATTTGTCTATTTCACTAGCATTAATAAAAAGCAAACCATTCTTCATTTTTGCAGTGTAACGATACGTTACAATGTCGTGTGATTCTCTTTAAATTTCTTATACTGATACCCACTTCAAGTATCGAAAGCATTGCGGATCCATTATAAACTTTATAGTATAAAGAAGACAAAAAAAATAAATGCATACCAGTTTATAAATAACTGAAAACTATTTATGGAAGTGGAGAACTTTATACGTATATATTTCTGATATAAGACTATCTAGGACATTACTGAAGCGCTAAATTTATCTGGTTTAAAGCTGCAAGTCTCCAGATGAGCCATTTTTCAAGAAAATCAAACTTGACATCAAAGTAGTTGAGACTTGAAGAAAAGTTAAAGGACTAAAGATACAAGCATTAATTAACATTGTTATGTGCGATTAATGACTGATTACATACAGTTTGAATGAACATATTTCCACTGCATGACTAACGAAGTGAGCGATTTTTTGCTTTTTCACATCGTTGGGTAATTTAAGCGGATTATAAGTACCGATTGCAATGGGTTAATTACTTTCTTTGTTTCGTTCACAATATTTTACCTTTAAACACACTGTCAAAATGTCCATGAAAATTTGCATGAATCTGGAGGCATGCTGCTTAAAAACACCATCAAATAGCATTTTGTCTCACCTGTACATGGTGCAGCTGGACTCCATTTTCTATCGTTCTGGCAGACGATCACATCTGTTGTATTGACAAAGTTTCTATCACATTCAAACCGACATCTCTCGCCTATTTTTGCTCGGCAGTTTCCAGTAATTTTACCATTAGGTATCCTTTCTGTGTCGCACGCTGAATCTGTTTTATACAAAGCATTTGTCGATTCAATAATAATCATTATTAAACTGTGTATTCTAAAAAAGTTATCAAGAGGAATCTTTACAAAGACATGAAAGATATCTGGACAAGGTATAACTGCTTTTACTTGCAAAGGTCATTTCGGAGTTTTTTTATTAGCAGTTAATTTTTAGAGGGATTTTTTCTAAATAGAACTGTCGTTTTCGTGAACACATTAATATATGCTTTATTAATATGCAAAATATATGGAAAATTTAAAATTAATATAAAAATGAACACATCAATTATCATATTACATTTTAGTGCTCACAATATTTACTGGAAAAAAATAATTTTTCCCCTTTTTCGATAGATCGATATATTGAGTAAAGATATTAGGCATTAAAGTTTTTTCTAAATTTTCTAATCAATCTATAAAAATGAAGAAATATACCTATGCAAAGTTCAGATGAAACCGGATCCCATCCAGTTGCTTGGCAAGTAGTTTGCATGTTAGGGACACTCGGGGTGTAATATGTATGACAGCTGTATTTACAGGATGCCCCTATCGTTTTGTTACACCCTTTCTCCAACATACCATTCTTAATTTCATTAGGACATGTAAATGCTGATGAAAGAAGAGAAAAATAAAGATTTCCCATATATTTAAAGGACCATTAAAGCCTCAAAAGGCCCATTAAGCCTCAAAAGTGCTATCATATTTATTTCTTAAGAACGTTTTTATTTTGGTACATTGCTACAGTTTTCAAAAAGTTACTCATTGGTCATATAAATTATTTATCTTTTGCTCTTTGGTTATTGTTATATTTATAGTGATTTAGTATTTTGTATGGTAGTCAAAATACTACTTTGTTTACATTCTGGTACCCTACCAGGACATAACTGCACATTCAGGACTACTTTCTTCAGCTGTTTAACATCTAAATGCTCTAAAACATTTTAAACAGATGTTTGACCTTCCTAAAGAATTTAAAAAATCATTGATTTCCGAGGCATAATGTGCCTTTAATCTAAATATTTGCTTTGTTTCGATAGTGTAAACTTAAAAATTATTTTTCATATTTCGATATAACAATTTCTTAGATTTTTTCATTTCAATTGTTCTTACATAGAACTTATCCATGTATGCTATATAGGATGTAGGGTCCTTGCCTCCTTTATATGTATCATATGGACATAAATGTTCCTAGGATGGAGAGATTTTTTCAATTGAATTACGATCGAAAATGAATATATTTTATTCGTATTTGTCCAAAATTAAGATAACTACGTAGAAAATATTAAAAAGTTATTATTATACTTGGCCTACCATACAAAAACTCACTTACTTGCTAACCGAAACTAATCGGTAAAACTGTTCAAAATTTATTTCTTTATATGTTAATTTATATATTATGCTAATCTACTGAGAAACTAACACACATTCTTCAATGTTATAAGCTCTTTAGAAAACCTTTGCCAATTTCTGTTGTATAAGCACAAGTAAAATTCATACCTTTCCATTGCATTTCATGTATTGTTTGCTATAAATATGTTACATATTTTATGAAATAAATATATTGAATTGAATATGAGGAGAATTCAACGAAAACAATATGACATAAAAACATGAAATTGTTTTAACCTTGACATACGTCCTTCGGGTGCCAACTGAGGTCATTTAAACAAACGGCCTCATCTGTCGTGTTAGCGAATCCTGGGTTACATTGAACCATACACTTCTCCCCTACTTTCCCGTTGCACAATCCTATAATATTTCCATTTGCCAGAGTTCCATTTCTGCACACAGATTCTAAAAATAAACAAAATTAATATATAGATTTACAGACATACATGTGTATATTTAAAATCTAATTTCATTAGTCTGTTCAAATAGATGACTCATATGGTACATATACTACATAATGATAATTACATTGACGAAATGATAAAATAAGAAACAAGAAGTATCTTTAAAAAAGAACAAAGAAAAAAAATTTAACTTGCATATGTTATTACTCACCCATCACATTAATTGTGTGAACATTTTTAGAACTATCCTTTACATTTTATTTTATAATGGCAAGAGCTATCCTTTACATATTTAGAACTATGCTTACAATTTTATTTTAGAACGACAAGAACTATCCTTTACATTTTATTTAAAAAAAAAGCCAATTAGATTCCCTGATTTCAGTTTGTGATTTCAAAATGACCAATGAAAATTCTTTTTATATTTAGTTTTCCATGAAACTTTTACAGGAAGTCAAGCTGATTTTAGACGGCCTTCGACCGAAAAACCATATTACCAATGCAAAGAGTAGAAGAACTTGGGCTCCACCCATCTTGACTGCAAACTGCTCTTCTCCCTTTAACAACTGGTGTAAAATATGTATTACAACTATACGAACATGCTTGTCCTAGCGTCCGAGAACATCCTTGATCAACCTCACCGTTTTCTATCTTGTCACTACATTTGAAAGCTGAAAAAGCAAGAAAGTATTTTTATATCTATCGTTTAACTTGAGATTAGAGCAAAAGACAGATAAGCTTTAGCTATGAGTAAAACTTTCTTTAAGCTGAACAAGGAATAAGTAATGCATTTATTTACCTTTTACATTGAATTATAAATATAAGAAGCTTTAGCTACGTGTATAAAAGTATTTGACTATTGCAATAGGAATACTTTTAATTCACCAATTTTTTGAAAACTTTCATCTTGTTTGTATTATTCACTATTCGAATTTACGTCGTTTAACTATATGCTTGTCAATGTCTTTGCATTGCTTTATTTCATATCTGTTCTCATTTATTTTCTTGAATTACGCCAAATTTCAAGCATAAAATCCATTACAAATAAGTGATGCCATACGTGTACATAGGCCATTTTCCGGACTATGAAATGTTCCATTCGCCGTACATATAGCCTTTTCCCTCGTGGCTATATACCCATCAAAACACATGTAGTCACATTTTTCACCGATTGTCATATTGCACTCCGTACTAATCTTCCCGAACCCAATAACGCCGGCACAAACTTGTTCTGAAATATTGTTAATTTTGCTTTAGTTATATTTCATCACTATTTGAATCAACTATTAAATAATTTAGAATCAATCCCGAACTTCAATATCATATTTTTTCTGGTTCATTGAGAGCATAGATTCCAGTATATCTACTGCTGAGGACTGCGTGAATACAAATTAGGCCACTCTGTGCGTGAGAGAGGGTGTGAGAGATTTTGCAAATTTTATTGTTTCAACTGAACAGACGCAATTTAATTCTGTTAGCATTTTCCTCTTCATAACACTTGAGGGATTCCCCCATTTCTTGATGTTTTAAGCTACATGCATAATTATCACCATATTTGTACTGCGTTATTAACGCAACTGTGTAATTAACGCAGTAAGGACTACTTTCGCATATGTTTTTTTTTGGTAATTCACGTAGATTGTAAGTGCCATTTGCAACGTACAGATTACTTTCTTTGTTCATCACACAATATTCTACTTTTTAAATACATTTTCAAAAATTGCATGATGATTAGCATGAACCTGGAGGCATGCAGCTTTAATATACAATAAATATTTAATAAACTGAATCTTCAAAATTAAACACAATTCGTATATTTTTGTGTGTTATGCTCATTATAACTTTAAGCAATTGCAAATAAGTTGCTTTACGACCATGAAACGAAAAATAAAGATATCTTTATTGCATTTTAATAGATGTACATGTATTACCACTGCATGCAATATCGGCTATATCCCAGTACCCGTCACTCGTACATTTGAGTTTCCGTTGCGAATGTGTTGATCTATATCCATTATTGCACTGATACGAACATTCTTCTCCGACCCGTAGACTACACTCACCAAATATTTCTCCGTTAGGTACTTGTGACGGGCACTTCACATCTGAATATACATTATGAACATTGTAGTAAGATTAATGCATTTTTTTTCTCGGCTGTTATTGAAGAATATCAGCAGGTACAATAAAATTATCTTTGTATATCATTATGTCTTACTTATTTCTTACTTAAGAAAAATCGTTAATTCATGTTAGAAGAAATAAACGTTAAAACACCAAGCTCTGTATTAAAATTACATGTATTTATCATATCATATAAGTTCTTGAAAAGAAAAAAGAATGCTATTTTAATGACGTCCAGTTAAAATTAAAACTATAGAAATAGCAATGTTTGTTGTTGTTGTTGTTGTGTTTTTTTTGTTTTTTTTGTTGTTGTTTTTTCTTCAGAACAATGTATTGATTAATAAATGTCTGCAAATATATTTATCTTAATATATCATGTATATAGCTTCAAAAGAAATGCAATGATTCTAAATGCAAAATAAGTTTAAAATAAAATGCATAAAGCATAACGCCTTACAATGACTATTTGAAAAATAGTATTGAATAAAACAAAACGACTTTGAAAATAAACATACATTGGCATATTTCTTCATCCGGAATTTGATACGTTCCATTTGCAGTGCACACGATTTTTTGTACTGCCTTTACAAAACCCAAGTTACATTTGAAGTCACATGGCAAGCCAATTTCTCGTCCACAGAAAGGATCGAGCATTCCATTTGGAATAATCGGTGGACATCTGGATTCTGTAAAGATATGAAACCAATAGATATTATCCGTAACTCGGCAAATGTGGGTTTTTTCCTAGTTAATCCTCCGGTACAAGTAAACTTTTAGCGTTTCAATGGCTTACGGTGCATGACCGTTCACAATAGTTTAGTGAACCTTTAGCGCTTAGTTTCAAGACTATATATAACCGTAAATGATTGTTTTACCACCGACTTAGCTTGAAAAACCGAAAGTATGTTTTTTATTCCGGAGTATTGCCGTTGATGTCATGAAATATATTATATGTATTTACCAAAAGTAATGTTTTCTTGCACGCGAATTTGATACTTATGAAAAAATGAATAAGATATTTTAAGGGTCATTAACGGAAATGAAACTTTTATTGAGCACTATACTTAGTATTGTACCATTTTGTCGAGCAGAAATGAAATAATTTAATTTTAACAGGGTCAATAAAACCCTCAAATGTAGAACTAACTGTTGACATTACAACACTTTTCTATTACTTATTTATAACGTTAATTTTATTAGATATTTAAAGTTTGCCTTCACATAATGCTTTCGACTCCAAATCCCATCCAACATTTGTGCATGTTAGTAAGGTGTCAAAAAGTGGCACGAAATTAGTCGGGCACCTATATCTGCATTCATCGTGAAGATGTCGTGGACAGAGGCTACTAAAAGTTATATCTATCTCTTTTGTTATCCCATTGACCTCAACAACTTGTTGAAGCAATTCCGTACATTGGAACACTGAAACATATATAATATCCGTAACAATTACAGAAATAAGGAGTTATACACAATTAAAGGCCCATTATGTTTTTGATATGCTATCATTTTCATTTTTTGAAAAACTTTTTTTTTCATTTTTGGTATCTTTTTACGATTTTCAAACAATTATTCAATTTGCCTGTAGATGAACATACATTTGAAAGGAATATGGATTTTTGAGGCATAATGTGCCTTGAAGGGCCGCTAGTCAAATCTAATTTCTAGCTTTAAAGCCTTTACCGGGTGTGATCCTAAGTAACGTAGGTTTTTTTGCAGTTGTATGAAAACAAAAATAAAAAATATGAAAATACAATATTCAAATATAAATATAGTTCTCATACGAGTTTACCATTTATAAAATCTTAGCAAAGTAATAGAACAGAGTCAAACTTATTTTGATAATATTGATGTATACAAGAAACTAGCAAATGTTTTGATTTACCACACATTAAAAGAGTATATGTTTGCTAAATTATTAATTGTTTTACGGCGTTATAACAAACAACAAAACATATACCGTTATTGCACGTTCGGCCATCTGCTTTTTTAAAACAGCTCCATTTTCACAGGCACATGTTTCTGCCAGACATTGTAGGTAAACATATAGTACTGCCAGTCCCCACGTCCTCCACGAGCTCTACATGCGACACTTACTTAAGTAACAAACAATTCATGTAAATACGACAAAGAAAATATAACCATTATTTCTTTCCTTTTCTTTTCAAACAATATTTTTGTAAATAATTTAAGCAATATTCAAAAGTTAAAGAGTACAGAAATGGTGCATTTCCTTTTATGCCATGACCTTGACTTTCAACGTCACTACCTTTTACCAAATTGTTAGCAATATTATTTTTATTAAAGTATAAAAAGTGGATTGTTGTATATTATGTGCATATTTGAATAGATAATAAACTACCTTATCAAACTGTATCTTAAAATTCTGAATGTGTGCTTATTCCGGCCGTAACATCTTTTTCTCAAGTTAAATGGACATGCGTACGCACCGGTTTCAATAATAAAATTAATTAATTAATTAATTATAATAAATGAATGGGTTTTTTAATTGTGAATATCATAATGATGATTTAGCATTTTTTCTACTAACCCGCTTGTTTGTTTTTATTCGTACTGCTGTAAAATGCGATAGACTCAAGATTTCCCATCCCAGGACTTTGCCCGACTATTGCTCTTTCATACGGTGGCGTCAAATCTACTCGTACAATGTGGCTTTAAAAAAGAACGGCTTATAATTATAGCAATTTCATTAGCAACGTAACATAGTACGTTTGCGACCAGCATGGATCCAGACCAGCATGCGCATCCGCGTAGTCTGATCAGGATCCATGCTGTTTGCTATCAGTTTTTCTCCCCTTTTAATAGGGTTGGTAAGCGAACAGCATGGATCCTGATTAGACTGCGCGGATGCGCAGGCTGGGCTGGATGCATGCTGGTCGCAAACGCACTATGTTAGTTTTGTCGTGACGCGGCTCAATTATGTTCTTTATTAGGAAGCGAATGTCAAAGAAATGCATAGCAGCTGTTGTCCTAAAACAATTTTGTTTCGAATTTTGAAATTTTCTTATTTCTGCCATACATCTAAGGTTTGAATTTAATCATATAAAGCCATTAACTGACACTAAAGATCACATTTTTTCCATTAAGAGGATTATTTGAGAGGTGGAAACTTATATAACTTTGTGATATCAACATACTTATAATGTTACCTTTGTGTTTTGTTTGTTTCCAGTAACACCATATAAATGACTATTATAATTTAACATAACCATAAACGTTCAAATTATAATCTCCTTTACTGAATTGAAGGCCATGTGTGTTTCTAATCATAAAACATTAAAATAGATAAAAAAAAAAACCATGTTCGTTAACTTTCTTTTTATATGCGGATTTAATATAACCAGAGAAAACTACTTTTTATACGCGGAGTGTTACATACAAATAAACTATACGTACTCTTTTCTATACGCGGAGTAATACAGGTAAACGCCGTCCGTTACAATATCTTGTATCCCCTCATCACGGAATGTTCCAGTCATATTTATAATCGTTAGACAATTCTCTCCATTCAGATCACATTGTTGAATTGTGTCGTAATGCGAGTCCGACCAATATAAATGGTCATCTGTAATTTAATTAAAGTGACAAATTTGCGATATGATTGAATAACAGAATAAGATACAACGCTCTCGTAGTGCTTTTATCAATCTACTACAATATACAATGGTAACAAATAACTTTCATGCACAGATATATCATTAACTGAAAATTAACAGCCCTGTAATAAGTCCGTGACCTGTTTACTTACCTGAACTTAATGAAAAAATAGTAAAATGAAATACAATTTGACATCATTGTGTTTCTAAATCAATTATATTAATTTTCTAGATCAGTTTGTATGCAAAGTAGTATACCCTTTTTATTGAATAAAAAAATAATGAATATATACTTTGATAGTTTGTATTCCTTTAATGAAATTATTTAAAGCCCATTGCGTGTACATAATCTTTGGGTTAAACATATTTTATTTGTCACGTGAGAACATCTTTACATACATAACATTTACAATTAATACATAATAGATAAGACTGGAAGCAAATTAATGCTTATTGAAGTCTTTAACTTTCTTGTCCATTTTTCCTTTCATATTCTATCAGTGGTCAGCCAGTGGCTATCTAAACCACTCAGGCACTAAAACCAGGTCCAGTTTTCATCTTTACTTATTATTTAATCAACTTACTAATAAAATCTATCGCCACACCACTTGGTTTTTCAACATGGTGTCCCTTTATTAACTCAACTTCATTTTTGCCATCCATGTCGGCACGACCAATGTATGTTGAAAAGTAGTAGTCACGTGTATAGTACATAACACTGAAATGATGTAATGTGTGTAACATTTCTCCGGATGTTGCTGAAATCTTTCAATGGATTTGCCATTTTTTAAATTTGATAGTTTTAAGTATTTCAGTATCAATATATAAAATTGAGCTACTGACAGTTGACCGTTGTCAGACTTCACGGACCTGCAGGATGGCCTGGCTCTATACTGGTGCCAATTATGATTCCAGTACGCTATGAGTGATACTTTTTATTTTAAATTGAAGTAAATTTTAATTATTTTTATTATCTTGAAATATCACATAAAATTACATTTGTATACAGGTTAGAAATTTCTTATTTGTCTACACTGACAACTACGACAACAGTTTAAGAAAAGAAACTTAATAATGTATCGTATCATAACAAATTTTTAGTGTTTGGAATTACTATTTGTCCAATAGAATGTAATTCAAATGAATTATAACATTTACCTTTGTAAATCAGATGAATTTAAACATTATAGTAAATCGACAGTTTTGCAAAAATAATTTCAAAAACTAGACTGGAAGAGGTAAATAATAAACATTTAATCCATTGATTTGGTCGAACGGCTGTGCCGCTCTTGACCATTTTAAATTTGTAAATGCCAAAAAACACTTAAAACGTGACATATTTGCAGAGATGCACGCTCATAGAAGCATAATGTAGTTCATGATATGAAGAACCCCATGACTTAAATGGCTTTTAGAATCTTACATCTTATAAATATCAAAACATCCGTATAATAAATTATGTTACGTGCACTTTGCATTAGATCGTTTGTCCTAAGTATTTAGGAATTCAGTTGATATAACAGAACAAACCCTTTTCCAGGATGAAGCACTATGTCACCTAGCAATGTTGTTGTATACACATTGAACAACACCAATGCTTCTCCAGATGGTGTAACTACTCCAATAAAATCGTCATAGAATGCCGTAAAGAAGATGTTTCCGGTAGTCATATCTTTGTCCAATCGTCGCAGATAGCCCTGAAATCCTAAATTAAAAAGTTGTTTTTTTTACATAATTTTGCGCCCAAAGTAAATTATATTTACATTAAATTGACATATTATTTGTTTTTAAATGATTTACATTCCTTGGCAACCCATTTGTACTCGTAACGAATACACGCATGATGTTACGATGAATGTTGTTCAACGGAAATAGTACCCGTGGGTTCCGACGATGAAGATTTATATAAACACTTTAGATTTGTCTCATTGATTCCATCTAAGCTGTTTCAAATGTTTTATTCTAAATTGAGCACCCATACAGTCCGCTTGTTTTAGAATATATTACATACATGTTCTATTATTGCAATAAACTAACAAAGTTGTGTTAAAGACCACCTCAAAATTAAAATCACCTTGTAAAAAAATGTCACTCTTCAAAAAACCTTCATGGTTAAATAGAACAGCGTTACCTTGAAATTAAGATCACCTCTCTATAAAGGTCATGTTGGCTCTCTCCTTTGGGTGAAATTTGTCCAAAGGTTTTACTGTATGTTATTTAACAAATATGGTCAAATTTGTACAGAAATAATACTTATTTCCTCATTATTTAATTTATGTCTATTAACTTAAATGTTTTTCACCAAAGTCAACAACATTACCTAAATCTGCTAAGTCCCGTTCTTCCGTACCATTCAGGTTAGAAGTATACATTTTACTATCATAATTTTCTGTCCAGATAAGTTTCTGAGTACTTATGTCAAAGAAAACTCCTTTATACTGATCATTGTCCTGGTTTGGAATGGCATTGATTGTATTATCATCTAGACTTATCTGTAGTAGCTCATTATTTGTCATGTCAGCAGCGATGATAAAATTGTCATCTACAACATCTGTAAAAGAAAGAGTTCAGGATCATATAAATGTTGTGTTGTTGTGCATCTGTAAAAGAAAGAGTTCAGGATCATATAAATGTTGTGTTGTTGTGCATCTGTAAAAGAAAGACTTAAGAATCATATAAATGTTGTGTTGTTGTGCATCTGTAAAAGAAAGAGTTAAGAATCATACAAAAGTTGTGTTGTTGTGCATCTGTAAAAGAAAGAGTTAAGGATCATACAAATGTTGTATTGTTGTGCATCTGTATAAGAAAGAGTTTAGGATCATATAAATGTTGTGTTGTTGTGCATCTGTAAAAGAAAGAGTTCAGGATCATATAAATGTTGTGTTGTTGTGCATCTGTAAAAGAAAGAGTTCAGGATCATACAATGTTGTGTTGTTGTGCATCTGTAAAAGAAAGAGTTCAGGATCATACAAATGTTGTGTTGTTGTGCATCTGTAAAAGAAAGAGTTCAGGATCATATAAATGTTGTGTTGTTGTGCATCTGTAAAAGAAAGAGTTCAGGATCATTTAAATGTTGTGTTGTTGTGCATCTGTAAAGGAAAGAGTTAAGGATCATATAAATGTTGTGTTGTTGTGCATCTGTAAAAGAAAGAGTTAAGGATCATATAAATGTTGTGTTGTTGTGCATCTGTAAAAAAAAGAGTTAAGGATAATATAAATATTGTGTTGTTGTGCATCTGTAAAAGAAAGAGTTAAGGATCATATAAATGTTGTGTTGTTGTGCATCTGTAAAAAGAGTTCAGGATCATATAAATGTTGTGTTTTTGTGCATCTGTAAAAGAAAGAGTTCAGGATCATATAAATGTTGTGTTGTTGTGCATCTGTAAAAAAAAGAGTTCAGGATCATATAAATGTTGTGTTGTTGTGCATCTGTGAAAGAAAGAGTTCAGGATCATATACATGTTGTGTTGTTGTGCATCTGTTAAATAAAGAGTTCCGGATCATACAATGTTGTGTTGTTGTGCGTCTGTAAAAGAGTCCAAAATAATATAAATGTTGTGTTGTTGTGAGTCAGTAATGTGCTGTCCAACCTTATTGACGGTAACAAATTCATACCATTAAAATATGTAATTTTCGATCAGTGGTATATCTAAAATTATGAAATTTATATACTAATTCTCGAACCGATAAATTAACATTATGGATTAAACCTGTGTTGAATAAGGAATTTCCGTAATTACTTAACTCTTGAACAGTTCATCTGTCTTGTTCCCTATTTAGTCATGACTTACTAAAACTGATGAATGTTTGAAAGATGTTTATCTCCGTAATGGTTAAATGAATTTTCAGCATGAGTAGTCAATGTTATAGACAGGCCCAACTGAATTGACGTAAAAGCTGGACAGAACTTTGAATAATAACCCTGCACATTGAAATCAGTAATGTAAATCTATGTTATTATTTCTATTATCATGTCACCATCATAGCTGATAAACTTTAATTTTTCCTTTTTAATATCCCAATAATTGAAATAAACTATTTACAAACAGAAGTTTGACAAGTGCATTAAAGAAGTCCTACCGGTTTAAATCATTCACATTTGTATCTAGTATCTTTGTAAAATATTCATGATACTGCAAAATCTTAATTATTCGCGGGGAACTTTTCACGGTTTTCGTGGATACGTCAATCCATGTAAGATTATTTTGCATCATATTATTTACATGTTACCTTTTGGAAAAATAAACAGTCCACAAATTAGGAACCCACGAAAATGTTCTTTGTGACAAAACCACGAAGTTTTATGCTCTCCAAATTAAGTGAATTCACAGTATATGTTTTAGGCTTTCGGACTCTAATGGCATTTCAAAGGTTAAAGGTTAAGGGTTCACATTTTGTATTGTCATTAAATACATACTCGAGATACACGTCAAGTTGTCATCGTCTAAGAAGTAGCCAAGGCGGCACTCACACACTGGTGTCATGACATCTTTAACATAGGCTGTTATACATATCTGAGAACATCCGCCATCCTCAAACGCACATGGATCTAACAGAACAGAACAGAATGATATATTTGGCTACATAAATATAGTCATACATAATATATAATCATTGGTGCATACACAAATATATGTTTCGACATGAAATGTCCGTATTTCGAGTTACCAATTCACGTTACGTACCCTTTAGACAAATAGTTAAATATTAATTTGAGATCATTATATTACTTGGTTATATCTGTTAAATAGTTATGTATAAATAATAAGCCTTTTTGTCCACGATAATAGCTTTTTGCCTGATGCAAGGAAATTTTTACTGTGTTCTCCATATAATCTTTATGGTGAGTCAATACCCCTTTACTATTGATTTGATTTTTTTTTCTTTTAGGGTTTGTGTTTAAATATTTTTTTCCAGACCAACATATTGTAATTATTCAGCGGATGTTAGGATGCTAAATTATCGTTATTAAATAATCGTTTTTTATGTCAGTAAATGAAATTTATTCAAAAATATAAAGGTGGAAATCACTCAAATAATCATGCTTTACTGGTCTACATACTATATATTTATTTATATACAAAGGGTGTCGTAAAATTTTATTAACATTGCTTAATATAATTGTTTGTTCTGTCCTAAAGATATATATCTTCACAACGCGATTTTTGTCGTAAATAATTATGCGAGTGACATAGCATTCGTCAATAATAAGGATTGAACATGCATTGATTAATCTTGCCTCTTTTATTTAATACTGCCCTAAAATATCCTATGAATAAAATCAGTATTTAGTCAAACCACTTGCACCTCACCGCTGCGGGTTCGAATCCAGACAGGGACTTTGGATTCTTTCATGTTAGGAAGCTATCCAGCTAGCTTTCGGAACGTCGGAACATCAGTGGTTCTTTTCAGGTGCCGGTTCTTGCCTGAAATAATGCACAGGGCACCTGAGGTCTTCCTCCACCAGTAAAGCTGGAAATGCACTACATGACCGTGCGACGTAATCCAATCAAACAAACGCTGTTTTGCTGGGCTTTTTATTTTTGCTGTTTTTGTTTGTTGTTTTCTTTGTTAGTTTTTGTTCTTAATGTTTTAACGTACTTTAAAAGGTATATTATTATAAAACAACATACTTGTGTAGTTCGTCGACTGAAGACGTTGGTCTAAAACTTTCATATCAACTATTTCCATAGACGTGTTACCAAGATAGCCATTCCTCGTCCTTGACCCTGTCACCAAGTCATATGACGTCACAAAGAAATCACCAGGATGTACCCAAGCCACATAGTTCTGAAATAGTGTACCTTCAAAACTTTTGCATCAAATATGATAAAACATTGCAATTCATTCACCATGTTTCTGTTTTGTAACATTCTCTGTGTATCTATGCTTGAAGTAACTGATCAAAACATTTTGTATAATAACGATGTTGTTTTGTTTGTTGTTTTTGTTTATTTTTGTTGTTTGGTGTTGTTGTTGTTGTTGTTTTTTGTGTTTTTTTATATTCAACAAAGCACTGTAATCGTATTTTTCCTAATTGCTCACTATTTTACAATGCTCTTTCAAACACTTTATATAAGCCAAGAATACATGTTTTATATATAACTAGAAACTTAATGAATGACAATTTGACACCATAAAAACTTCAAATTGGAAAATTCAGCTTTTATTAGTTTTGGTTTCGTTTGAGTCGTGTTGAATTCATTAATATAGATCAATTGTATGTGAATTCTTTTATTCAACACTTTTAGCTCAAAATGTTTGATTCAGCATTTTATTAGAAACATCTTTGCTTGCAAAAGACAAACTTTATTACCAGGTCCTATATTAAACATTTTCTCAATTTATGATTTATGCATGTTGTCATCTTTGAGTATTGTTGAAGATTGAATGCTGCAAAAGCCGGTGCTAGGTGGGGGGGGGACTTGTTTTACTTTTACATTTTATCTCATGAACAAACTCGAAACAAATCGCGACTAAAATTGTCATGTTACTTCTTACAGCCATTGCTTCCAAGGGATTACACTTTTTCAAGTCTGTTAACGAAAAAATATTACTTATATATTTCTTACTTGATAAAGTATGAGGCCAAATGCACCATCGTCAACAGACATGAACACAAAATCTGTATTCTTTGTAATTATTGATACTTTGTACAGATAATATCCATTTATATAGTATAACCTGAAATCGAGAAAACAAGACAATATGAGCAAACTTATATTCAAAATGTTCAGAGATTTATGATTAAAAATAGAAAGCCATGTTCACAGAAAAACTTAGTCCGCAGTAACATGAGGTCACCTGGAAAAGCGAATACATGAGCGAAACAGTACATTCAATCCAGAAGTTGTAACTTGTAACTTAGAAGTAAAATAGTTCATGTGAATGTACTTACACCTTTTCGGATTTGTCATACGTTAAACCTGAAATTGTACTCATTCCATGCGATATTGTATTGACACGTGACCCGTCCAGTGTAAGCGTTTTTATGTATTTATAACTGTTACTTCCAGTGATCATTGCCAACATACTGTGAGAATCAGAAAAAACAACACATGGAAACACAAGCACTTAATATCCTTAAATTGAACTGGTCTATAATGGAAGATTGGTTATACCATTAACATTATCATGCTTATCATTTAAGATACTCAGACAAGATGCGTGAATGTCGTTTATTTATTTATGAATTATAAATAAAGCAATGATTAAATTAATTCCCTTTGTGGTTTTATGGCTACAAGTAAAATGATACCTGTGATTTGAAATAATAACAAGATTATGAGCCCCGGCAAATGTGCTATAATCTCTGTTGACAATTCTTGACGCTTTTGTTTCAACATTTACCACCCAAACTTCCCCTTTGTCCGATTCACACCAATATAAGTTATCCCCATCTTCTGCATCGTAGGCCAAACCTAAACACATTCGTGGAAACAAAACAAGTAACGGAGCACTTATACATTACATTTATACAATACGAAGTATGTTTGGCGTAAGACTCAAATGAAAGTAATACTGCTAAACAAAACAAGTGTCCTGTCTCATTTGAAATAATCTATTTTCAAAAAGAATGTTGTTTAGTTTTAACATATTTATTGCAAATATTTTATAATCAGACATCAACAGATTTATATGTAAAGAGCATATTATCATATAATTTTGTTTATGGTAAATTCTGATGGACCAACTGACCATTGTCCTTTTAAATAAACAGATATGTCAATAAAATCTCTAACATTATTTCCATATAGCATGTAAATAAATGTATGTGTGTTTTTCACAGACATGGATAAGAAATGAATTAAAGTGTATATATTAATATATAATACCACTGATATTTCCCGACGCCGACACTATCACTTCTTTCATATCGTTTTCTATTGGCAAATCAATTGGTCTTCTGTAAATAGTATTACTCTCTGTTGCAAAGAAGAAGATTCTTTTTACCATGTCCATATCAAACATCTTGATAAAATCAATCGGTTTGTCTGAAATTAAGTGTGTTTTTCTATAATCATAGTCTGCAAACAAATCTGCAATAAAACCAACTATTTACCTTTTTCAAACTGATTCAGTATAACTGATTAGATCTTTCACCTTTGTATAAAGACTAAAGAACAAATAAGAACAAAGATCAACAATTCAGAGAATGTATCAACCGCAAAACCCAGTCGCACTAGCAGGGTACTAATTCTTGTCTTGTGTGTTTTCAATGGTTATTTTCAAACAAGGCGTTGTTTTGATTGGTTATATTTCAAGCAAGGTGATGTTTTCATTGGTTATTTTCAAACAAGGCGTTGCTTTGATTGGCTATTTTTCAGATAAGGCGTTGTTTTCATTGGTTATTTTCAAACAAACCGTTGTTTTCATTTCTTTAATATTGTATCTATAATGATATTGCTTTCATTTTGTTATGTGATTTGTTAGTCATACTAGTGCATGTTTCCTTTACTAAAATATATTTTCTAAGTTAAACCTTAACGCTAGAACTTAAAAAACGGCATAAAAGTCAAACACTAATAGTGAAAGTATCGCTTCCATAAGTTTTCATATATTTTTGGTGGCCATAATGAGTTCACTTTGACTAATTCTAATTAAAACACAAATCTAACAAATTTATTTAAATATAAGCCTTGACACGACTTGAAAAAATAATAACCAGTGTACATCTGAATTCTAGATAATCAACAGGAAGTCCTTCCTACAACAACGGTAGTGAATACTTTTGCGCATTGACACCTACGACTTCAAACCACCATCGCATAGCTGCTGGTTCGGATCTCTTCAGAGACTTAGTATTCTTTCATATGCGGAAACTATCCACCTAGATTACGGAACGAATATGGTTCTACTCAGGTGCCTGTTTGTGCCTGAAATAATGCGGTGGGGGGTTGGGGGCTGACTTATTGACAAACATTAAAGCTAGAAAGTAGCGATATAAGCATTACAGTGTTAGTGCGACGTAAAGCAAAACAAACAAGAGGGCCATGATGGCCCTGAAGTCGCTCACCTGTATATAGGCCCCCGGAGCGGAGCCAGTTTAAACCCCAGGGCTTTTATCTGAACAAACTTGGTAGACACCCATTAGAAGATATTTCATGCTTAACATCTAATGTCTAGCTGGTCAAGATTTTTTCTTTACACATATAGTTAAAAACAATGAAACACCTGGGGCAGGGCCAGTTTTGACCCAAGGGCTTTTATTTGAACAATCTTTGTAGACACTTACTAGAATATGTTTCATGCTTAATATCTAAACTCTAGCTATTCGGGTTTTTTCAAAGAAGACTTTAAGTTTTTGCTATACACATATAAGGAAAATCAATGTCAGCCGGGGCGGGCCCAATTTTGACCCCAGGGCTTTTATTTGAACAAACTTTGTAGACACACATTAGAATATGTTTCATGCTTAATATCTAAACTCTAGCTATTCGGGTTTTTTCAAAGAAGACTTTAAGTTTTTGCTATACACATATAAGGAAAATCAATGCCAGCCGGGGCGGGCCCAATTTTGACCCCAGGGCTTTTATTTGAACAAACTTTGTAGACACACACTAGAAGATGCTTCGTGCTTAATATCTAAACTCTAGCTATTTGAGTTTTTTCAAAGAAGATTTTTAAAGTTTTTGTATAACACATATAAGGAAGAGAAATGACCACCGGGGCGGGGCCTATTTTGACCCCAGGGCTTTTATTTGAACAAACTTGGTAGACACTCACTAGAAAATGTTTCATGCTTAGTATCTAAACTCTAGCTATTTGATTTTTTTCAAAGAAGATTTTTTAAGTTTTTGCTTAACACATAAAATGGAAAATCAATGACCTCCGGGGCGGGGCCAATTTTGACCCCACGGCTCTTATTTGAACAAACTTGGTAGACATCCATTAGAACATGTTTCATACTAAATATCTTAGCTCTAGCTCTTTGGGTTCTTTAAAAGAAGATTTTTTAAGTTTTTACTATACGCATATAGGGAAAATCAAAGACCCCCTGGGGCGAAGCCAATTTTGACCCCAGGGCTTTTATTTGAACAAACTTGGTAGACACAAATTAGAACATGTTTCATGCTAAATATCTTAGCTCTAGCTCTTTTAGTTTTTTTAAGAAGAATTTTAAATTTTTTACTTTATGCATATAGGGAAAATCAATGACCCCTGGGACAGGGCCAATTTTGTCCCCAGGGCTTTTTTTTTAACAAACTTGGTAGACATTCATTAGAAGATGTTTCATGCTTAATATCTTAGCTCTAGCTCTTTGGGTTCTTTAAACGAAGATTTTTTAAAGTTTTTACTTTATGCAAATAGGGATAATCAAAGACCCTCTGGGATGGGGCCAATCTTGACCAAAAGGCTTTTATTTGAACAAACTTGGTAGACACTCACTAGAAGATGTTTCATGCTTAATATCTGAACTCTAGCTATTTGGGTTCTTTAAAAGAAGATGTTTAAAGTTTTTTTCTTTTGGTTGCCATGGCAACCAGAGTTCTGCATGGAATGGAATTCTTTGAACAACTTTGTTAAGGTATTAGGACCCTAATGGGCACTATCAGGAACTAAAAAATTGACATCACAAGTCAGATGTTTACCTTAAAGTACACCTGTATGCAAAATTTAAACAAAGTTTACCGTACGGAAATCAAGTTATGGCCACTTTTCTGAAGCTAGGATGTTATGAGGGCCCTTTTTTTAGAAAGAAGGAACCTTTAAATAATCTGCAATAAAATTCTAATGAAAAATGTTTTCCCATTAATTTTTGGTAAGAAACAAATAGTACCATTCAGCTAACAATCCAAATAAGCAAAATTATGGTTTCTACTTAAAATTTATGAAATCTGTATAAAAATGTTACCCTACCCCACCCATTTTTACCACGTGTCTGACCATTTTTCTACTTAGGGAGCCTAATTTAAAAAAAATATTAAAATTTACCCAAATGAGTGCCTGTTTTCAAAGTTTCCCTAAATTTTTAAAAAAGTATATTGGTTGATCTTGTAAAATATGAAATACTTTTACCGTCTAGTTTTGATTATATTACACTTTGAAAATATCAGGTACTATATTTATTACTAGATTTAGCATAATTTAGCCAATAAATACCTATAAAAATTAAAAAATCAAAATTAAACACTTTTTTCTTTCCAAATGGGACATGAGAGATACATAAATAATGTTAAAAGAAAAAAAGAAAGAAAACAAAAGTTGACCCTTCTGGGGATTGAACCCATGGCCCTCATGTTCAATGTAGTTAACAGTTGTTCTAGCCTATTTGAATACTCTTCAAAGCGGAGGTAATGCATTAGGGTGCTAATACCTTAAGGCTTCACACAAGGAACATCCCTGTGAAGTTTCATTATGATCTGCCTTATGGTTTCAGAGGAGATGTCGTTTGAAAAGTGTAAACGGACAACGGACGACGGACGACGTACGACGGACGACGGACGACAGACGACGGACGAAGAGTGATCCTAATAGCTCACCCTGAGCATATACTCAGGTGAGCTAAAAACATATGAGCCGCGTCACGACAAAACCATCATAATGCGTTTGCAACCAGCATGGATCCAGACCAGCCTGCGCATCCGCGCTGTGTGATCAGGATCCATCCTGTACATTACAAGTAGAGATACTGATAGCGAACAACATGGATCCTGATCAGACTGCTCGGATGCGCAGGCTGGTCTGGATCCATGCTGGTCGCAAACGCACTATGTTGGTTTTGTCGTAACGCGGCTCATATGCTCATACAATCATTTATTATGTTATAAAGACAAATTTACTTGTTGTCACTCTTGTTGATGGCCGCTGCGTTACTGGAGAAATTGTAGTCTTATTGAGCATCGGTCTTGTAACTGGCCCCGACCATGCTGTTGGCGTTGTTCTTCTACGAGTGTAACGACTAAACCTTGATAATGTCCTAGGTCTAGTATATCTTTGTGTAGAAGGACTGACTACTTTCGGTTCTGAAGTTACCTGCCTTGCTGTACTTGATAACAAATCCTCTGTTATGCCGACTGGAGGGGTTGATAAAAACGTTTGTCTCTTTTTTCTCTTGAACTTGGAAGGCGAGTCCTATAATGTTTTAAGAAAAAGTATTAAAAGTTTTTGTTTGAATATCACAAAGAATAAGTTATGTCTGGCGGCTTGGCTTAGTGGTTAACGCGTCGGCCTAGTAATCTAAGGATTGCTGACTGCGTGGGTTTAAACCCTGTCAGGGGGAAGCTGTTGTTTTCTTGAGAAAGAAACTTTACATTCATTGTTTAGTATTAGTACTGGTTAGTTCCAGGAACGAATTTGATAGTGTTTTAACAAACGTATAACTTCCAACACAATCGAACTAAAATAAATATGTATAGAAATTAAAAGAAGTCATATTCCTGTATAATTACATACATGTAGTTCTCAAATAGCAACTATATTTATTGTACGACATAGTCTTAGGTGCTCAAGCCTCTTTACTTATACTAGCAAGAGTCTAAGTTTATTATCTTTGTTTGTCACAACCAACCTTTATGAGATTAATCAATTGTTGAAAGAAAAGACTTAGGATAACAAAATAATAGGTCAAAAAACTCCTTGAAAGATGTTTTCATAAAATATAAGACATAATTATCCTCCTTGTGGTTGAGGGGTTGCCCTTAATGGTTTAAGGCATCCGAATTGCAGCCACCGTTTATCCCTGCGTGATCTTAAGAGGCGACTAAATGGGCTCGAATTACTGGAGTCTATGCATCTCTTAGCTCCAGCAGGTAATGTGGTTTTGACAGTGTTGGTAACACACGAGGTAAGTCAAAATCATTTTTACTATTTCGACGCCATTGTACCTAAATGGTATTGGTGCGCCGTTAAACTAAACAATACAAATTGATGAGCCGTAAAGGAAACAAAACAAATTGGTGCGCTGTAAAACTAAACGATACAAACTAATAACACACAATTACGATGAAGAATAATAATGTTATACAGTATACTTACTGTAAATGAATATTGAGTTTCAATGGTAAATCTGCAATCATACTCATGATCGGCCTGAGCAAACGAGCGAATGTCAGTCAAGCATATATGTGTCTTGTTGGAAACAACAATTGCTTTGTGGTATCCGTCAAAAGTCTCTGCAGATAAAAGTATATGTCAAATAGAGAAAAACGAAATCCCTACAAAATTGAAAATTGTGCAGGCTCGGTTTGATTGAGTCTGTTCATAAGCTAAAAGTTACCGCCCATGTATCCTAGTACCGACTTAAGCAGAATTCAACATTTAAACACGAAAACTGTTGCGAAAGATATTTTATATATTTGAGCGAAGCTAATGTCATCAATATTCTATTGAAATAAAATTATAGATGTATCTTTTGAGTACAGGTTTAAACATATTTTCTTGTCAAAGAAGAAAGATATACATGTATATACATGTAAACACAGTTACAATGCAGTGGTTTTGGGTATTTCCTTAAACATATATCATATGTTTAATATTATATAATAACAATCCGATAAAGCAGAAACAAAATATTATAATTAAGGACCACGCTACCTTTACATTTTCCAGTATTTACATCTAATTCAAAACCTTCCGTACATACACATTCAGCACCGGTTTTGGTAGATATGCACATATGGTCACAGTTCTTCTCGGCACAATAATCTAAGAAAAATATCATAAGAATAAGTATCATAATAAATAAATTTTAATAAGAAAGACATACTATTTTAAAGATACATACATAGGTACAAGGGCGGGCAATATTTATTTACTAGTATTGGTCGCGTTTTAAGTCATTAAAATATTGGTTAATTAGAAGAAGAAGAAGAAGAAGAAGAAGAAGAAGAAGAAGAGAGAAGAAAAGAGTATAACGGCAAGATTGGAAATGCTGCAGACTCGGTTAAATTGAGTCTATTCATGAACAGAAGTGGTAAATGCAAACTACTGTCCACGCTCTCTAGCACCGGCTTTAGCAGAGTTAAACATTGTGAAACAAAAATGATGACATTTTTAATTTGGAAACATCTGCAGATGTGTTCATACTGCGTAAAAAATACTGCGATAAAGACTTTGATGACTTTTGTGACGTAATATCGTTCTGAAGTTAGAAGCATTTACAAAATAAATGTTTAATATAAGTTTCATTTGATAATTTCACATAACCTTTTTCTTTCAATGGTTGTTTTTCTTCCGAGTAGACTGCTAAACCATAGAATATTTCAGGAAATATTCTGATCACAGTTGATTCCTGTTTTCCTAGGTGGATACCTTTGGTTGTGTTCAAAGTATAAATGTATCCACTTTGAATATCACTGATATACACAACATCCTGAAATGTAACCACGTGAGACAACTACTAAACACATTAAAACCATTGCTGCATCCTCAAATGTACAGTTCTTTCATTACATTACATTACATTACATTACATCTTATTCTTGTTCGTGTTTCTTTGATGATTAATTTAGCATTCTTGTTACAATCTCATGCGAAAAGTTAATATAACAAAATACATAACAATGATAACATGTATTTATTGCAAGTACCGATTGTTTTAAAAGTGACTTTATGCCGATCAAGAAGTAAATGGTGTGTGTTCAGGTAAAATTCAAAATTATTTTAGATTTTGTCATATTTGTTTTCAATTTCATAATAAGCGTCATCTGAACAATCAATAACCACCGTGACTCACATGCATATCTATAAATATTCTTAGGAAAACATCAGAATCGTACAATTTATAAAAAGAGCGGGACAGTATTTTTATATTTTAGACTGTTTTTATATTTTTCTCTTAACATTTTTATTATCAATTTATATTGCTAAATTGCCATCCCATTGTAATAGTAAATCTTTGAAATATGTACATTGAGTATAATGTGACTTAAAGTGAAATTGAACAATGTCAAAAGACAAATGTTCAAAAGATACATGTAACAAAAATTGAGTTTTTCATTACATACGTTAACATCCAAAGCTCTTACCCTAAAAATTGCCAAATCGAAAAGCCCTGAATTCGGAATTTTCTGAATTGTTATGACGTCATTACCATCATATGCCGACGAAAGAATGGATTCTGATAAAGAATCTATCCAATAGATACGTTTGTTAAATATGTCTGCTTCAAGAGTTAATGGTGACTGCAAATGTTTCGAAACTATGGTGTGACGATTGTCTCCTTTTAAATCCGAGCGTTCTATTTTTGGATGTTTTCCATTATCCGACCAAAACAGTAGCCTGCAAAGGTATGAAAGGTTTCAAACTTCCGCCTAATTAGAATTATCGCCATATTTTGTTTAAATACACATGTAAAGCATTTAAAGCAGCACGCCTCCAGATTCATGTTAAATTTCATGAAAATTTTGATAATGTATTTGACAGTAAAATATTGTGAGGTGAACAAATAAAGTTATTTACACATTGCAATTGGCACTTACAATCCATGCAATTAACCAAAAAGAGGTTAAAATGTGCATAAAAGCCCTTACTGCGTTAGTAACGCATACTAACGCAGTAGAAATATAGTGATAAAATACTGCAAAATCAGTCTTAAATCGCAAAAAACATGTAAACTTTAACATTGATCTTGATTGTTTTTACCTTTCTTGAAATATTAGAACATTTTTCTCAATTTCCATTTTCTTGAAATATTTTGGCTCATCTGGAGGCGTGCAGCTTTAACTGCAAAAACGGTTAAACAAACATTTGGTTTTACAAAAAACTTAAGAAATACATAAAAATTGAAACATATGGTAATTATTTTGTAAAGTCCTTTAAAACATGTGATAATTATTTTGTAAAATCATTTGAAAATATGAGTTTCTAAATTTAGTTTTACCCTTCAAGTGGATCAATTGTTAATCCGTCGGGTGCTTCTAGATGAGTATCAACAACTATCTTGTAATAATCCATATCTATCTTATCACTTTCACCAGGTGCTGCTACTATCCAGCGAAATTTAGAGTCACTCCAGTACACTGTATGGGACAGCCAGTCAACTGCTACTTGAATGTTACCTCTAGAGACACCCACATGTATATTTTGGAATTTCATATCGGTAAGATCTTTGCTAAAGTTTGTACCAACCACTATTGTTCTGGTAAATGTAAGAGACAGTCTTAGTTTTAAGGTCAAGGAAATACATATCTGTGGATCTTTGGATCAATCAATATAACATACATAACATATTAGTTAAAATGAACCAAGATTTTGAGAAAAACAATCGATAAGTAGAACCAAGGAAGTTGTTAATGTGTTATTGCAGAAGTTGATTAATAAAAAAACTCTTTGGTTTGGGTTGTTTGGAAAAAGTCTGCGACTCATTGCGTTGACTGATTGGAATGGTTTATTCTTTATACTTATAACATATTTAGCTGCAATTAAGTTACTGTCAATGTTTTATTTGTATACCTTAGATGGTATTCATACATATAGACACACTTTGTTCTGTAGTCTACATCAATGCTGACGAAATGAATGTTTCTGTTGGAAAAGGTAACACCCGGTACAGTACCAGAGTAGTTCTCATGGCCTGGAAGAACTGGTAGATGCCGAAGCTGAACCGGAGTTCGCCAACCATATCTATTTAGAGTGGTAACAATCAGGCCACGTTCTGAAAGAACAAAAACTTTACTCTTCCACTAATCATATCGTTAACAGCTAACAGCTATTTTCTTGATATGCTACTATAATAATAATGATGCTGTATATATTAACATTTTATGTCTAAATAAGCGAGCAAAATAAGTATTTCATTCGTCATATATTTCGTGTATCATAAAAATGATAGAAATATTAAGTAAATAACTTGATGTAATTTATTGTAATTACATCATAGCAAATAACACTGATCGGGTGCGATAGTGAATAATAGTTTTGAATTAATAATTATCTTTAAATGAATGAATGAATGAATTTTACTAATAATGAATGAATGAATTTTACTAATAATGAATGGAATAAAAAAAATTCTAATAAAGAATTAATTGATTTTACTAATAGTTAGTGAATTGATTTTACTAATAATTAGTGAATTGATTTTACTAATAATGACAATATATAAACAAAGGAGTAATATCTTTTGGTATTATATAAAAATGATGAAAGATTAATGATGATTATGATGATGATGATGATGGTGATGGTATAAAGTAAAAAAATTATTGACAAAAAATATATATTGTAAATGATAATCCTATGTATGGTCAAAATAAAAGGTTTAACCTGTTTGGATTAGAATTGCTCTTTATGTTTAAATTAATTGGTAATGCATATTAGTCCTACCTTCCGGCCATGTTTCTTGGTCTGTTGTTTGTCCGTTACTGCCAATCAATATCCCGACCATGAGTGCGGTAACGAAAAACATTGCTCTCGTCATGTAACACATTTTGATATTAAACAATTTTTGTAAGATCCTAAATATCTAGGTAATCCAATGAAAGTTTCATTTACCATTCCAATCAACTTTCGTACCTTTATTGTCTTAAAGAAAAGTCAATAAGATGAACAAACAGTCTTTTTTTCCACATCGTAGTTTGTTATATTGGTAAATATACCGTTATAAAACCCGTCTTTGCACTATACAAAAGCTTGCTCTTTGGGGTAACACTTAAACTTAGGTTTAATTTTTTTTTCAGGTAAAAATAATCCATTTCTTTCAACTTCTTAGCTCTTCATTGCTAAATATGGTTTGAAAACTTAACATATCAACTAAACATAACGTATTAGGTTGATAGTTGTACTTTTGATATGCGCCCTGTTTTCCTGTTTCTGTAGTAGATATAAGCCAATATGTAAAATATTGTGAATTTGTGAGGCGCGAAGCGCCGAATGGAATTCAATATTTTATTTATTGGTCAGTTTGAGGCTTATATCTTACTTAAATTACTACTTTTGCTATCAAATATCATGTTATCTATCAAAGCATTAGAAATAACGCATTTTTGTGCTAAAAATGTACAATTTAAAGGTTTTAGAAATTATCTTTTTACTTGTAAATACCCTATAGGTAGCCTCTTGAGTAATCAGATGTCCGTAGCATGAAATTTTCATCGTAGCATGAAATTTTCATGTTTTTTAAAATATGACCAATTATGTACATGAACACAATGATATGCACAAAATATACCAGTTACACAAAAGTGTGGACTTGCACGCTTACAGTATACATTAATTTACATTGGTGATTTTTACCCAAAAAAGTGAAATGTAAAGTTTTCAAATTTGTGATAAATGTCTGATATTTTGAATGATTGACTGAGATAATTAATGTCCTTTGATAAGGGTTTATACTGATTATTTAGTATAGGATATTTTGTATGGATTTTCAATTGAGATTTTATTTTAATTTTTGTTTTTATTTTACTATATCTGTTTACCACATATCCTAGACTTTAAGACTATAACAATGTACATAATATTTACTGTTAGACACTTTATTAGTGAAAAATTGCTGTTATTCAGTATCTGATTCAAATTTATTAGAGCTTATTCTCCATATTGTATATTATTCTCTTTCATTTGAATACCAACCGTGACAAAATGTTTCATACGTATTACTAGTTGATGTATAACGAGATACATGTAAATGTATAAGTTAAATAAAATTTTCTTCTTCTTTTTCTGTTTACCACAACTATCACCAATTCAGGGATGTAAAATGTTGTATAAACTTGTGTTATTGTGAATTTTGGATATTTACGCAACAAAATGATACTTTCTTATTTTTGATTTGATATTTGTCATACCACAAGAGTCTGAAATGTTTTTTTATATAAAAGTCAAACATATATGTAGTCAAATATAACCGCTTATGTGTATTTATTTTCTCTGTTACGTTTATTTAAAAAGCTGCACTTACTGAAACATTACGTACATACAATAAAGCAAATACGGTATGATTGTTAACTAAATGTAAATGTATGTACATGTATAAAAACGAGAAAGAAAACGGGAAAGTTAGGCAAGAAATTAAACCATTTAAACATTGCCATCAAAAGTATATTCTTATACTGACGCCCCGTCCTTTCACTGGGGAAGCGTAAACAATTATACAGTATGATTTTAAGAGATCAGTAGTCTGGAAGATAGAATTCGTGAAATGAGCAAAGAATTCATCGGTTTTAGCATTTCTTTATCGCATATAACAATTATTGGGTTTTTTTTGTAAAATTCTGTAAAATGCGTAATGGGTTGCGTTCCTCGTATTTATTTCTGATAGCAGGGATCACATTTTTCTTATTTTTGATTTGGATAAAATTCGAAAGTCCTGTGGTCATACAAGCTTCTTTCACTACACGACAGGCTGTCTAATATCAATTTGCTACAATATTAATAGTGGACTTACACAATAATATTGGACGCCTACCTGTACTGTATTAAAAATACAGTACGGAGAGGACAATGGAATGACGTCATAGTAGTAATTTACATTTTAATAGGTATTCCCAAGCTTGAATTATTTATATCAGATTATCGGCTGCCAGAATCACCCAATGGCATTGTAACGTTTATATTTGACTTCTGTTTAATATAAATCTAAATATCTTGTTAAATAAATTAACTATGCTTTAATTTTTTCGTGAGCTGATTTTTCAGAAACTATTATCTAGTCTATTTTATGATGCACGTTGAGTATTTAAAAATGAATCTATCGTCTGATAAAAAATTTTAAAGTTTCAAAGTTTAAAAAAATTTACTTTCGTTATTTCAACAAAAATGGAAACTCTTGTACATTAATATATATGCCTTTTTCCTGTCGATTTTCCAAGAAAATTTCTTAACTGGTACACATTTTCCCCTTTACCGATTTATTGTCGAAACATTCCTATTTTTCATTTTTAGCGAAATTCCATGGAATATTCAATAATTAAACTGTCGATTTAGATTGATGCACATATGAACACGATTTTGAAACTTTCAAATCCAATCTGAAATGGGAAACACTGGACTTTCAAGTGGAAACACTCTTGAATCCGTTGCTTTATTCCTTAAACATAACTGAAACGGAAAAAGACTTTCCTCAATATTGCACAATTCATTTAAAAGGCGCAAAATACAGACTAGATATGCGAAAGAGGAATTGGACCTTTTAACAACCGTTTAATATTAACCTTTTGGAAGAAATGATACTAAAATGAAGGAAACGAACCTACTTAAGAAATTAGATAATGTGTAATTAGGTGAAACTAGTACGTATTCATGTTTACTAAATAATTGGATATGTAGATGCTGTGGCATTGTGGTATGTAATTTTAAGATTTAATTATAATCCCCTTCTGCTGTACATCGTGGGAATTATACATGTATGAAAAGTACAAAAGAGATATACTAGACAAATTGTGCTACTTAACATCTTTTTTAAACCTTGTTGTCGGATAGTCCAATAACCTTTTGGCCAGTTTGAGGTGAAACAACTTTGAAAATATATTTAATTGACCGAAAACTGAAATACCCCTTGGTATGACTGCAGACTGTCCTCTGGTGACATTTTTGCACTGACACCGTTTAAAACTGTATTAACTTTCACGTATATGCATGTACATCATATACAGTAAAATTACAAAATAAAAAATTGAATAAATTATTTTTTTTATTAAAAATTAAGTGATATTTATATGATAAAGAGAGAGACCTACAGAAAGAGAGGACAAATTATCTTTTTTGTCTTACGATGCATTTTAATTTACATACCATATAAAATCTAGTTAAACTGTTTGTCTGTATTCAGCTGACAAAAAACTGGTTATTTATTTATTTTTTTTTTATTTATTTATTTACTTATATTTGTGTGTGTGTGCGTGCGTGCGTGCGTGCGTGCGCGTGAGTGTGATTTATTTATTTATTCATTCATTCATCCATCTTATTTATTTATTTATTTATTTATTTATTTATTTATTTATATTTGTGTGTGTACGTGCTTGCGTGCGTGCGCGTGTGTGTGATTTATTTATTTATTCATCTTATTTATTTATTTGTTTATTTATTTATTTAAGGCGTGCATAAATAAGAACCTCTGCAGAGCAACCCTTTGCATGGCAACTCACTCTTCAATTTTAACTTAACAAAATATTTAACTTTTATAGAGCAACACTTCAGCAACTAAAATATTTGATCTGCATACAGTACATACTGTATATTTAAAGTTAGCTAAGATTATATAACGCAACATGTTATGAAAGAAAATAAACTTATGAATATAAAATATACGTGCAAAAATGACGATAAAAAAAGAAAACGTTGTTTCCAATATTTTTTCCTAAAACATATTCAACTTGCTTTGAAATTAGAAAGAATAATGTTTAATTTGAACCATCAATATTCATATGCAAGAAGACTTTTGTAACATAAATAAGGTAATCGAGAAGAAGTTGTTTTTCAGGTAATTAATTTTTGTGTTTGTTTTTGTGTTTTGATGGAATTTTTGTTGTTGTTTTTTTGTATACTTTGGTAAAAAAAAAAACCTTATTCCGGGCTCAAACCGAGACTAAAATTTAACCATACGTGTACATAGTACGTAGACTCAGATAAAAAATAATTTAAAAGAAAGATTTTGGAATTGATTTAAGCGCTTCTTATAATATTCATATAGAAATTTTTCCAAAAACGTGCTCCGAGACTAACGCTGATAAAGGTCACACAATTTACTTTACATGTTTTTTTTTTAATTTTGGACAGTACGTTGACGGTTTGATGTGTACTGAAAAAAAGCCATCAATTTGTGTTTAATTCATAAAAAGACTCGAAAGAATGGTATGTTACCTCAAACAATGATATGCCATTTCAATGACCTTTAGTAAATACTAAAAACACTTTTACCGATTTAGTGGGAAGGGATGAAAATAGGCCAGATACGTGTATTTTAAAGTACATTTTAACTCGAGTTAGAATATAGCATTACAGGTAAACGCTTAAAAAGAGCTAGTATTAAGTATTTATGATGCTTTCTTTATAAGTAAGGCTGTAACAAAGTGTTAAGTCCGGTTTTATGTGGAGAATATATATCAGGGGGAATTTATCTTTTTTTTGAAAAAAACACAAACCTGAAATAATTTTTAATAAAATTTTCGACAGGGGTTTAATTTCCCCAAAATAAAGGTTCTTTTTTAATACTACTTGGGGCCCGAAAAAATAATTTGAAAAACCGTTTTTAAAAATTTCCAAAAATGTCAGGAAAATTTTTCAACGAATTTTAAAAACAATGTACAAATTATTTTTATAAGGGAAAATGACAATTTTTCTTAAAGCATTTTAACTGTATTGAGTTTCTTTCATTTTTAACACAAAAGGGGTTAGTCAAAAAATCTTTTCCCGTTTTGGGGGCCCCTATACTAACGTGCTTGAGCCGTAAAACCAAAACAAAAAAAAAACAAAAATTTTATTTTTCTTTTCCCTGTCTTTCTCAGTTCCTTTTAAATTTCATACTTAAGTTTACGCCCTGAACAAAAATAGTATACGACTTCCAGCAATAGATAACGAAATTTATTGTCATTTATTCTTTCTTCAACAGACACGTAAAGTATTTTTTTAAAGATAATTAAGTTTTGAGCTATTAAAATAATAAATACAACTATCACATAAATCAGCTTGTCCTTTCTTAATTACACTTACCTTCAACATCTCAAAGGTAATTCAGAGAATTTTTACGTCATTGACAACGTTAACGTCTTTTGAGGCCATTTCTAAAA